ATTCATGTAATTAAAATAATTACATGAAATCTTGCAGATGTATGGCACATTACTTTTCCCTCTGATCCTTCTAGCATTTTATTTTGTGTAGGGATTGGTATTGTTGACTATAAAATTAAAATTAGATTAAATTTTAGTGTACAGCTTGTGCATCAATTTTATATAATAAAATATGGTATCCTTCTTAAAACAGAATACGAATGAGTTACCAGGCACAAGTATAGCCTCCACGTTGATAGTTTCTAGGTTTGAAAAAAGTCACTGCCTACTAAAATCCTCAGCTCCTTTGCCCTGACAGCCCAACCTCATCAAAACATTAATCATACATACAAGAGAGCCTATTCCTAAACACACCCTCCTCAATCCTGTTACCTTACTATGGACATGGACATGGCATTTCAAACATGGAAGTTGTGCATTTCCAGCAAGAGGACAATCATGAAACAAGAATAGCCAAAAGCGAAAAAGTTAAAAAAATTACAGGTTCATACACGAGTTGAAAATTACTTTTCTTTTTTATTTTCTACGCTAAACAGAGGAGGTTGAAACGTTTGGGAAAAACAGTGGGGCAAGCAATCATACCTGGCAGCTTCGAGAGAAGATATAAGAGAAGCCCTTTTACGATTCTGGCGTATTGTTTTACTAACTCACTGTGCTCAGATGTATACACGTCAATCGACCGGTGATGTCTTAACGCGAAGTAGTTTACCGTCGTTTCTTTCAAGTTTGGCTCATTTTCCCTAACTGAAGTTATAAGTCACGCACTAAAAAAATAATTTCGAGTGATACTGACATCATACACTTCATCTGAAGAAGAAAACATTCCCTATCTTCGAAAATTTGCTGAAACATCGGGAACAACAACGAAAGTCCTAAGCTTTTTGAAGATACTGCTGCCTAGTATGCTTGTTGATCGCTCAGCAAGTTGTTAGAACATCGTCCCCAAGTTCCAGACCTCATCTTAGTGTCTTATGCCCTCGGAGAAACTCCTCCACGGCCAGTGCTGAAGAGTTTTGTTACAGTTTTTTTTTCCAGCATAATAATTTAAGCTTGGCTAAATCTATACATTTTTTGTACCAAAAATTTATAGATTTACATTGCATCTGTTTATAATGGATTTTTGCTACCTTTGAGGTGTGTTTAATATGTTCCATGTTATATACTGTTTACAGAACCTCTTTTTCAAGTGGGCAAATAAGGCGAAAAATGTGCAGCTTCTGTGGTTATCCTACAGTCACTAATTCTGAAGCTTTGTGCCCAGAAAACATGTAAACATCTCCGAAATTACACGCATGGCTGAAAATTAATATTTTAATACAACATACAACGAAATCACCAAAGAAAAACCAATTTTACATCATTTCAACGATGAGAATTTCCTTATGAAACTCTTCTCTTGTCAAAACACAACCAATACATTTTGTGCTAGTCCCGAAATCAAGTCATAACTTTGATCTCGACACGATACAGCAGTCGACTTTCGAGAATTCTATGTTCCTATGAAAACACAAAGTCAAATCAAGTAGCTGTCACACATTTTTTTTCGCATATTTTTCAAGTTCTTCATCTGCAATCTGTTTCTATCTTCCTCGGCTATCCTTATAAAATTCTCGTGCCTTTTTCAATTAATTGTTTTGTAATACCACTCTCGACGCTTAGGCTAGAGCGAAACCGTAACAATCATTTCTCAGATCTTAATGCAAAATACATTTTTTCATTTGTGCAACCGAGTTGCAGTTTCCCGCAAACTACCACAAGCTATGCCGAATTCAGATCAGTGAGATTTATTGGGCTGCCGAGCCAGAACATGCCTAAACGCGTATCACGCTTAAACAATCCCTGATTATGTAGGCGATAAGATTGCTCAAGAGAGAACGATTCAGAACAAAACATAGAATTATTCACCTAAAACGAGAATGAATTTCTTTTTCTTATGAAGTTACTTAAGGTACTTTTCCGATGTAAAAGGTTTCAAGGAAAAGGATACAGAAAGAGAAGAATTTATCTCGCATATCACAGTCAAATCGAAAGCGGAAGTGATTTAGGAATTTTATCGAAGCAGCCTTCGTGCACATTGAAAGACGACACTATTAAAGGCAACGTTGTTATGTTATTTCGGCTTAAAATAACCAGTAATTATTTTAAATACTGGCAGTCGTGGAGCAGAGATCTAACTTGAATTGACTTTCGCTAGCTTTACAATCGATGAACATTTCTCTGTCCACACGCTTCAAATGAATTGCAAATTCAAAACCCAACGATCCAAATTAATAACAATTCAAGTCATTCACAAACACATAAAGGTAACATTACATGTTATGAGTTTCCTCTAATCTAAAAGTCAACAAAATTTGCGACAAACCTACGGTATTTTCCACTCTCTGAGTACCTTGGTTGTCGATCACAAACCTCCGTCCATTCACTAAGTCTAACGTGACCACACGGGAATATTGTTGTGTAAGAAGAACAAAGATTCCTTAAGCATCATGTCACACGACCTCCTTTCCACAGACACAATATCTACAGGTTTCAGTACGTGATTTTCGTAAAAATGAATATAGTACCTTACGATACGCTAACATGCAGGACTTCAGCCTCATTTAATTTCAGCAAGATTCTATTAGAGCCACAAACCAATAATTTGAAGGATTTGTATGGGAGAAGACGCTCTGGTCGCAAAGATTATATTATTTTCCTTCGTTGAAGTAAACTCATTTTTAAAGGAAAGTTCAAGAAAAAATCTTCTCTCTCAGTTTGTGTGCCAGCCTAAGGATGATAGGGATAAGCGGAAGAAAATTAACAACCACAATGACGATGACATATTCATAGCCTTTCTATCTGAATGACTGGCGCTTGTAGGCGCCTAATGAAAACTGTCCAATGTGGATACTAAAATCAAAATCGTTATTGACTGCTTTGCAAAGACGTGGTCGAAGTACGGAGGAATGAGCAAGTACGAAAGGATTCAGTGTATAGCTTCCGGCAGACCTTGGGGAAAGGTGGTTTCCCATCCATGTAACTTTCCCTACCCCTACCCCCTTGGTGTTTGCAAGACAGGCTCATTTCAATGGCAATCAATCTGCATTTGCCTAGATCCAATACCACATGATGACTATCGCTTTTTTCCCACTCAAAAAATAGATTGACGAACGTTTATGTTTTGCCAAATACGAAAGCGGCGTTCGGCAAGGAACAGGCCCCAAGCGAGAAAACAGTTCATTCGTATTAATGATAACATAAAAAGAATACCCACTTGCAGTTTGCTGCCCGAGCTAAAAAGCTGTGTATAGTTCGAACAATTTTTGCTCAAAATGAACAGTTAAAATGTTTTGTTTTTTCATTGAACTATCTTTTGTTACATGCAGTCCTATGCAGTCCTGGAACAGAATTGGTCGAAATGCGTATTAAAAATGAAGCAAATTATTTGTAGGCTCCTTTCCAAAAATAGATGTAAAAAGATGTGATATGAATTAAGAGTACATATCTTAGCAACCAGTTAAGTCGAAGAAATACTTCTCACGTTCAAAGACAAGAATCACTATTGTTTGGCAATTTCGGATTGTGAATATCGTGAGCGTGTGGAGTTAAAAATATATATAATAGATAAATAAAATAAAAAATGAAAAGGATATGTAACGTCTTAGGTCTTGTTACCTTTATTTTTACATAGTGCACAATATGAGGTAAAAAAAATTTCGACACGATAACGTTAAAGCGGCCGGGAGCGACAACAAATCAAGTTTCTATCAAGTTTCCGTTACGGAAACTTGATAGAATCGCTACGATTTGGTATGACACGTTTCCACTAAACGTAAATGTAACGCAAACACGAAGCTCTATTTTTCCGCCACGTTTAAGAGATACGGAACCGTAGGATTTCGTCCTGTGGTTTGAATAAAAAAAGCTACCAAGTTGCAAGCCCAGTGGCACTCTGACACATCGAATTACGGTCAAGTCGCCGACGGTTCAACTCGCCGACGCCAACTCGCCGAAGTATAAAATCGAGTAGAGACGTCGGCGTGTTGGTCTTCAATCCAGTACAACTTATCAGAAGGTAAACATACAGAAAAGTAAAAGATATTTTGTAAAAAAACAGTTTTGTTTTCTTCTAACGAAGTTTATAAGGATCTCATGGCGAATAAAGCAAGGTGAATATCGCCAATGACCAAAAAAGCTTTAGACGCGAACGAGTTTTTACTCGTTCGCGTCTGAAGCTTTTATATTCATGGGCGATGTTTACCTTGCTTTATTCGCCATGAATTTTGTCAGAAATAAAAAGAATTATTTTTTACTTAAGATCTTGTCTAGAAAGCCAAGTTTTTTTAAAAAAAATCTGATCGATTGACAATTGATGAGTCGTTACAGTGTTGTTGTCACACAATAATTATCTCGTTCGCTTCTAAAGAGTTTTCGGTCATTGGCGATGTTTACCTTGCTTTCTTCGCCTTGAGATTCTTATAAACTTTGTTGGAAATAAAAATAATTGTTTTTTTTTCTACTAAAGATCTTGTCTAGAAAGCCAAGTTTTCTTAAAATGCTTTTAAGCTTGACAGAAAATTAAGAATTGATTTTTTAGTCACATTCTTGGGACAAAGAAAAAATGTACACAAAACGTGACAAATGTTGGAACTCTTCCAACCAGAAAGTTTGAATGTCAAAACTTAAACTTACAATAGCTAGTCTTGGCATGTGGTTTTTAAATCAAAGGGTTTGGTGGGGACAGGACTGGTGGGAGCCCTCGCAAAGGGATGGGAAAAGGAGGGTGGGAAAGAGAAATCCTGAGGTTGAGGGAACCTTGAAAAATTGAGAAACACTTTGGGGCAAAGAGAATGGAACCACTGCAGGAAAGGGATGGGAAGTGAGAGTTAAAGGTACTTGAAGTGGGAGATTCATACCCCTTGCCCTTCTCCCTCTATAATTTATGTCGGGTGATCCCTGATTGAAGTCAACACATCATAACATTTAAATTAAAAAATCAGTTTTATGTTTGTATTGCAATCTGTTTCCTTTACACTATATGTTCCGGCCAAGAGTCAACAAGAATTTCCAGATGTTTCAAGAGGCATAAAATAAAGCTCCTTTAATCCTTTAACTCACATGAGTGACCAAAGACAGAATTCTCCTTACAATATCAATAAAATATCAACCAAAGAAGTGATGAGAACAAAGAAAAATATCAATTTGGGGACAATTAGTTGATCCAATACTAAATTCTCTGAACTTACATTATAAGAATTGTAGGGTTGACAGTAAGGAGAGTTACAAATTTGATCTGGGAGTTAAAGGGTTATAAGCACAGAAAAGGGGAGGGGAAGCCTCCAACACATCTTTGGATTTGTGGTAGGTTGGGTTTGGCACAGTCCCAGTGACAAGTGGCATTGGAGTTTAACAACCCAGAGGTAAATCAAACTAATTAGATTTTAATGATGGTCGGAATAACAAGGACTTGAGCAATTCAAGGCTGGTGGACAAATGCAACATAGAAAAATATATTTGTCTGAGCTGTTGTGACTCAGAAACAAAGGACGAATCAAAAACCTATAAGGTATAGTCAATAACAGAAACTGATGTATCTTCATCATGTTTGTCATTTTTGGACATAAATCACTGCCCCTCCCCTTTTCAGATTATTGATGAACTTTATGGCATCAGAAGAATATGATGGCCCAATTTCTAGCAATGGAACTCCATCTGTGGAGGTGCCACAGACAGAAATGGCCATCACCACAGAGGCTCAACAACAGCTGAGAACCATAAATCCTCTATGAGATTCAGAAGTCTATGGTGTTGACATTTATGCAGAAGTGTTGCAGATTCTGAGTTAATCATTAATCGATCAACACTGCTTCTGGAGCTTATGAAAGTAAAAGTGGTCTAAAACATTCATTTGGCTGTAACAGTGCCTAGGCCTGGCCTATATGTAAATGAGACTTTGCTTGTTTTACTCCTATTAATAAACAAAGAGAATAGTTATTCAGTAAAATCAACATGAGTACATAACATTCATTGATGGCTGCTTATTGACTGTTGGTATGTATATTAGCAATATAAAATTATTTGGAACTTTGCAAACACTTGCAAAAAAAACAACTGTTCAAAAGAACAATAAATCAGCAGGAATTTGTGGATACATGCTATAATATGAGGGGTAAATGTGAACTAGAATTAATTTCAACATTTAGCATGAAACAAAATCACTTAAGCCAAAAAAGTAACATACAAATTTCCACAAAAATAAGAAAAAAAACAATGATTTCAGATTGGACAATATAAGCTACAGTGAAGTAAAAACCAATCATGGAAAACGAGTCAGTTAAATGTGTACTATTAAAATCAACTGAGTATTCACATGGAATTGACTGTAATATAAAGTCTAAACCAAAAAAAAACATTTATTTAAGAACAGTCCTTCAGAAACTACTGAAGATGTATCTAGATCTTTCCAAACTCCACTTTACTGTGCGAAATTGAAAGATCCATATATTTCGCAAAATTGTCAAACTTGATGTGGTATCTTGGTATCTTCAATACCTTAAAAGAGGTTTCTGCTTCCCCAGGTAAAAATATAAGGTGGGATCCCGCCAATCCCACCTGGGATCCCAGGTGTGTCCCAGGTGGGATCCCGGGTGGGATTATGGAACATCCCGCATGGGATCCCACCTGGGATTATGGAACATCCCGCATGGGATCCCACCTGGGATTATGGAACATCCCGCATTGGTCCCACCTGGGATTATGGAACATCCCGCATGGGATCTTACCTGGGATTATGGAACATCCCGCATGGGATCCCACCTGGGATTATGGAACATCCCACATGGGATCCCACCTGGGATTATGGAACATCCCACATGGGATCCCACCTGGGATTATGGAACATCCTGCATGGGATCCCACATGGGATCCCGCCAATTGAAGTTGGGATCCTGCCTTAAATTCCTAATAGCATCCCACCTGGGAAAGCACATCCCGGGCGGGATTAAACCTAGAATCCCACCAATCCCTCTTGGGATCCTGCCTCAAATTTCAGATAGTTTCCCACCTGGGAAATCATATCCTAGGCAGGATTGCATCTGGGATCCTGCCAATCCCAGTTTAGACCCTGCATAAAATTACAGATGGCTTCCCACTTTCAGAAAAATCCTTTGAGGGATCCTGTTTATCACTGGAGACCACAGATTTATGAAATGTACCAGATAGGATATCTTAAAATTAAGAGGATAAAATTTTCTAGGTGAGCTATAGACCCCATCAATCTACTGAGGGTCCAAAACTTTCCAACTAGCTATAGAACATACTGACACCTCCAATGGGATCCCATTGTCTTACCAAACTGTTGATCATAAATGATTCAAACAGTACATGAATACACAGACTATATGTAATAAAGATCTCATAATTTATTTGCAATGAACCAGCATGTGTTTGACTTGTTTCATTAACAAATTTCTTAACTGAACATTCTTAAAGAATAACAGCAGAACTCCATATTACTTTTTCTTCATCATTTAAGCAGACCATCTACAGTGTAATAAGGCTCAACGTTTAAAAAAATTGGCTGTTATGTATCAAAGAATAAAAGAATAAAAGAAAGACAAAACCTCAATAATTCATGTTATCAAAATTTTGACAAAGGTACTGATTGAAAGTCTGCTCTCTCTTCAGTCAAATTTTTCAAAGCAAAGCAAGGTCAGAATGTTCCCAAATGTGACTAAAGTAATCTTGAAACCTTACTCATAGATTTATTTCATTGTAAAGTGTAAGCTTAGGAAACTGCAGCATGCAAGCGACCAATTTGATTCTCAGAATTATTTGAGTTTCAGTTGCGCTGAGCGTTAGGTAAGCTTAATTCAAGCCGTTATTTCTATTCTTTGATAAGATTTTGATCACGTAACGAATATGGCAATTTGTACTCACCACAAACTTCTAAAAATCCTAGCTTTAAATGGCCACTCGATCGTTGTTTGAACCAGTCGATATGTCAACTGTTAATTGTCCCTTCTTTTAAGTTCACGGTGCCAACGACTTTCTTTTCATTTAAAACACTCACACTGTTCTCGTTTTCCCATTAAACCACAATAAAACCAATCTTTAGAAGTGTTATATTAAGCAAAACAGTTGGGAAAAGAAACAACTTGAACACTGGAAAAAAGTCAAAATTTCCACAGAGACTTCACTGTGGTTTTTGTATGGTTTTCAAAAATTCCACAGTCTGTTTAAAAACCAAATGTGGTTATTTTGTGGTTTTTTGAGGTTAAGTTTCAAAGGATGCAAATATCCATACAAAATCCACATCAGGTTAATTAATCTCCATGTGATGTATGGAAACTAAAAAATCCAAAGAATAAAATGTCAATATCCTTGCATGGAAAATTGTGAAGTTCCATTTAATGGTTATTCAAAATTCCACAGTTGTCAAGGAAATTTAAATTTCCAAACTAAGTTACCTTGGATTTTAAAATTCCAATGGTGGAAATTGTTTGACATTACTAAGCATGGAAATTAATAAATCCACAGTTGTCATGGAAATTAAAATTTCCAAACTAAGTTAATTTGGATTTTAAATTTCCAATGGTGGAAATTGTTTGACATTACTTAACATGGAAAAAAAAAATCCACAGTTGTCATGGAAATTAAAATTTCCAAACTAAGTAAACTTGGATTTTAAAATTTCAATGGTGGAAATTGTTTGAAATGACTACTACGAGTTTCAGTTTCTTATAGTACATGTAAGTGAATTTTTTAAAGGCAGGAAAACAGAATTCCTCCCTGGCTTGCAGAAATTTAATTGTTCATTGAATTGTATTCTTTGTTGCAAAAATTTACTTCAGCTGACAATCGATCGCTTTGCACCATTATTTTTTGGAAAGATAATCGAATACTCAAACTATTCAGGACTTTGATAAGCATGTAAGATAATAAGATTTTCCCTGATCTTTTTTTTTTTGTTATAATAGGAAATCCCTGATATTTTGCTGACCGTGGCAGCATAATAAATTTTGAGCGTCAGTTTACGTGAGTCATTCTTCGCTTTCCCTTAATTTCTTATTTATGATATAAATATTCTTTTCTAAATGACAAACTTTTCATAATAACATATTTAAGATTCAGATCAGCACTACAAGCTAGCAAAATGCGCACCCACCTGCACTACATTCAACCTCACGTCCAACGATTAATTCACGCTGACTTGATAACAAAAGATGCTGTTGCTGCGTCTTAGGGTTCACAGCTTTACCCTTGCAGTTTTCGCAAGGGCAGTGAACATGAACAGATACCCTTGCAGCACAATAGCAACGCGAAGAGGGAAAAAAGGATCCGAAACGTTTATCCGCCTTCTCCGCCATGTTTTCTTGCTAAACAGCTTTGCAACCTCTCCTCCAAACTTATGGTCAGCGGATACTGAAATTTCGACCAATGAGAAAGCTCCGCGTGAGTCGTGTCGTTTCCCGCCAGAAATGGGATCAAAACTGCACGTCAGACGAAATTTTGTGCTCTTTGCTCGGCTGCTGCACAAGTTTGTGTTTCTGCGAGAAGATGGTCGATTCGGAAGAAGAAGTTGGAGTTCTGGACCAAGATTTCACGCCATTTACGCAGTCAAGTCCGAGCTATTCCGTTGAAAGTGAAACGGATCAAGAAGAACGGATCTGCAAGATTTTCAAGAAGTGGAATGCAAGGAAACTTCCAGACTCTGCCAAAGGAGGAACGGTTTCAAAGAAATCGAAGATTGAACCGTCAATTGAACCAGCATCATTGGGCGCCGAGGACTGCAAGGAAAATGTCGACGTCAAAGGTCAGTGCTTTAGTATTAAATCATTTACACGACCTTATAATTACAAACATTTAAAATGAAACCAAGTATCTTTCAAGTTGACTGATAAAGTGTAGGTCTTGTTGAAACCATCCACTGGAGAAAAAAATGGCGCGAATATTGTTTTCACGGTTTCAGACGCCATCTTGTTTCGGAAGGTTGCTTGATGCTAGATCATTTGAGGAAGGGAATTGTAAATTTAATTCTAGTATCAAGAAAGCCGACGAGTTGCTGTACGAAAATGTCTCGCTTCTTAGCTAATCTGTACAAGTTTGATCGGCAACATCTTTCGCTAGGCATCATTTCTTTCATTAGTGATCATAAAATTTTCAAAGTCAACCTTTTTTAACCCATTGACGCCTGGGGACTTAGCGCGCACCTACCCCCTAAAAACCTGGCCCCGGTTGTTCGAAAGCCGATTAAATTATCCCTCGATTAGAGGTTAATCGACGATTAAATTTCTTATCCCAAGGATAGCTAATCTAGGTTTAAAATAACGTTCCTGAAAGCAGATTTATCCCTTGATTAACTATCCCACGATTAAGCTGAGGTTAAACCAGTCAAACCGGTTATTAAGAGCTACGCGGCTACGCGCGAAAAAAATTGGAGGGAAAAAATGGCGGAAAGGGAGAGTGCACATGGAAGTGGAAACCAAACGAAATACAGAAAAAGAAAGCATAATTTTTCAGTTTATGAGATTGAAGTCATCACCGATAATGTCAAAAAAAATCTCGATTTAATCCAATCCAAATTAACGAATGCTGTGACCAACAAAAAGAAACAAATGCTATGGGAAGAAATAACCCAAGCGGTAAATGCGGTCGGAACAGCCAAGCGAACAGTCACGGCGGTAAAAGACAAGTGGAAAAATCTCCATAGCATCGCCAAGAAAGAATTTGCAGAATTCAAGAGGGAGACCAAGATAACTGGAGGTGGTCGGCGTCCAAAGTCGTCGAG